TATCTGTTTTTCCCCCCTTTCTTTCTTTCCTTCTCTCTCTCTTTTTTTGCCTCTAATCAACCGCCCCCGTCTTCGCTCCTTCTCTCCTGGTTTTTTCCCTCTTCCTTCGTCCCTCTTCCTCCCTTCCTCCCACTCTCTCTCGTTCTCCCTCTCTTCTTTTTGCAGGGCCCACACCAATTCCAATGGCGGGCGCATGTGCGCCCACGAAGGAGTGTCCTCCCGTTCAGGCTTGCCCGCCTGTCTAAGCCCGCCGCCCCCCGCGAAGAGACATAATCCCCCCAAAGGGGGTGTGATCGGACACAAAAGGGCGTGTATCGAGGTGCAGGGAACTTGGATATAATATAAGCGGCGTCCGGGGCCCCGCGGCCCAGGTTCGCACACTTTTCCCAAACTCCCCCCCCCCCCCGTAACCGAATTTTCTTCTGGGCTGCGGGTTTTTTTTGGCATCCAGGGGTCCGTTTTCGGAGTCCCGGAATTTTTTCCGCTGCCCCGAAGCGTCCACCTAGGATTCTGGAGACGGCAAGAAGCCGCCAAGACGGCCCAAGAGCGCTCCAAACCGCCCAAGATGGCCCCATGATCGGCCCAAGATGCCCCTAAGATGCCCCAAGGTCGCTCCGCGAGGACCCACAAGAGAGCCCCAACTCGCCCAAATCATTGATTTCCATCGTGTGCTTCCAATATTTGTTGCTTCTCACATTTTCGCGCGGCCGACACTCCAAGACTGCCCAAAAAACTTCCGATGTCGCCCCAAGAGGCCCCCAACAGGCCCCCCCAAAGCCCCCAAGACAGCCCAAGAGGGCCGCGTGATCGGCCCAAGAGGCCCCCAAGACGGCGCAAGAGGGTCTGAAGAGGGCTTGAAGACGGCTCCAAGATGGACCCAGGAGAGGGAACGCGAACCGACCTTTCGAGTTTCCCGTCCCCAAAGACCCCCAGGAGGCCCCAAGAGGCTCCCAATTGGCTCCAAGAGGCTCCAAAGAGGCCCCAGAGATGCTTAAGAGAGGTCCGACAAACTCCACAACGCCCCCGTGGAGGCTTCAAACCTGCTTCCAAAAGGTTCCCCGAGAGGCATCTCCGACGATATCATCCCAGCGAACATCCGAGAAGCCTCTAACCCACAACCCAGACACGGTTGCGGGATGGGCCCAAAGCTGCGACCTCTGGTTCGCATGGGGAGCTGGGGGGGCCTTGAGGGCTCCAAGAGGGTTCAGAAGGGGCCCCGGACCCTTCCAGAGGCTCCCAAGCTGGCCCAAGGTATTCCCAGGAGGCTCCAGAGAGCCCCCCAAATGCCCGAACAGAGGCGCCTTATGCCCGAAGAGGCCTCCGGGAGGCCCCAAGAGAATCCCAGGAGGCCTCCACGACGCCCCCCAAAAACCACCAAAAAAAACTACAGAAAAATCTGAAAAGCTCCCGAGAACCCCCCACCGAGCTCGCAGGAGGCCTCTACACAGACCCTCAGAAGCCCGCCAGAAGCCCTTCATCCTCCATGCTCGGGAGCAGTCCTTCGGAACACGTGGCCCTGGCTGCACCCCCCGACCCGCCCACCCAATGTCGATGACGCCCGCAAGACGCTCTGGAAACGCCCCTCCCGCACACATGGATCAGGTGACAATGATGCTGATCGTCGGTGGTCCGTCGTCGTCGTCGTCGGTCGTCGCTTGTATGCTACAGGCCAAACCCTTCCTCGAATTTCGCAGTATCCGACCGAAAATCACGCATGGGTGAAAGGGAGGAACCTGGAAGACCACATGTAAAAAGGTCCCATGGGAACTGAAATCGTTTTCGGAGTCGACCAGAACCTTAGCGCGCGCGAAGCGGTTCGAGTTTTGGATGACACGCGGGCAAGTAAGAGCGAACAGTCTTATAATGATTGTTGTTGTTGCTGCTGCTGCTGTCGGTGTTGGTGTTGTCGTTGTTGCTGAGTTCTCATTGCAGGAATAATTATTGTTGATCCCCCCTCCGCTGCACATTTCATTTTTTTTCCATTCAAGTGCTCCTCCCGGCGCTCAGGTCAGGTCAGGTCCGATCGCGCGCGGAGGCCGCACGCGCCCCACAGGTGGAGACGGCGATGGAAAAACATGCAATGAGACACACCCCTCTGAGATATGAAAATTGCAGGCAGGCTACTGCGAGGTCATGAAGTCCACGAAGTCGTCCTCGAAATGTGCTGAATCGGACACTCGTGTACAGTGAAATACTTCTGATAGCGACGTGGCGTGTTTGCCACTCAGATACTTGTTCACGTTATATGTCCACCTTGTCCTCGGGCGTCCTTGGGGCCGCTTGCCTGAAAGAGGGAGCCATTTCATCACCGCTTTCGGCCACGATAAATCATCTTGACAGGTCTTGTGGACGAGGCGCCACTGCAGTCTGTCAACTACCTGCAACCAGTCGGAAACGGGGTGCTGCGACAGCGCGTTCTGAAGACGATGTTTGCAAAGTCTGCTGGCGTCCTTCCAATCTTCATCTAGCCGCTTCCAGAAGCCGACGATTTTGCGGAGCATGGCTGCTCTCGCGGCGGCAATCTTCGTGCGTTGCTGCTGTGTCAGCGCGCACGTAGCTAACCCGTACGTGGTTGTAGGCGAGACCACGCTGTCGAAAAGACGAAGCCGCAATTTGACAGAGATGTTTTGTTGGTCAGCACCGTCCGGTTGGCGTGGTACTTGGCCCACGCGCACTCCATGCGATAGATGACGTTGATGTTCGATCTATCCAGCATCTTCCCAGATAGTTTTCGTCCCAAATATTTGTGCATGTCTGTGTCAAGCATTACGGGTAAATTCTGCTCGCCGAAAGGCACCGTCAGGGCATCCGCGGCCATGGAGTACCCGGGGTCGTTTGTGAAGACTTTGGTTTTGCTTGCATTCAGTGCCAGCCCACATCTTGACAGCTCTTCGCATAGAATTTCCAGCATAAACATTGCATCGCCAACAGTCGTCGGATACAGCAACAGGTCATCTGCGTACCGTATGTTCGTCAAACGATCTGGCCCCCCAACGTCAGTGCCACTCCCACGAACTCGGTCCTTGAATCGCCTCACGGCGTGCTCTAATCCACTGTTGAACAAGAGTGACGACAGCACGTCTCCCTGCTTGACGCCCCTGGTGATCTCGAAAAGCCCACTGCCGTTGACGCTCCCGCGCTGGTTGTGGTAAATGACCGATAAGAGACGGGCGTATTCCGCTGAAACACCTTGCTCGTCCAACGCGTTGAATAGCAGCGGATGCTCGATACGGTCGAAGGCCTTGGTCAAGTCGAGGCTGACAACCTACAGGGACTGCCCCCACTCGCATGATTTGCAACAGAGCTCCTCCAGAACAATGAAGGCGTCATCAACGGACTTTCCCGGGCGAAAGCTGGATTGGTCTGAACATTGCGACTTCTCGAGGTTTGGCTGAAGACGCTGGAAGAGCAGACGCGCGAATATTTGTAAGTTATGCGCAGGATCGCTATGGGACGCCAGTTCTTGACCTCACGTTTGCTGCCGCCCTTGGGAAGCATGACGAAGAGAGTCTCCTGCGAGTCTGAAGGATGGGCGCCAGTGTGCAGCATAGAATTCAAACATCCCAGCATAGCTTGAAGCAGGCCGTCCCCGCAGTAGAGAAACATTTCCAAAGTGACCCCGGCTGAATCTGAGCATCTGCCTCGGCGCATTCTCCGGAGTGCGAAACGCAGCTCGTCTATGGAGAGCCGTGGGATGTCATACGGGCCTCGGTTGCACATCTCGTCGATCCATTCCCTCCTCTCCTCTGGCAGATCCATGTTCAAAACTTGACTCAAAGAACTCTTGAAATCATCATTGTCGATCGGGCAGTGCACCTTCGGCCTGACCGGGTGCATGTGGATCTCTGGCAGCTTTTCAAATCCTTGAACTCGTGCAATATCTTCACAGCTCGCGAATCACAGTGGTGTCGGAGTAATTTCCGATGTCCCCGGCTGACCAACTTTGACACTCTGCGACGCTCGGTCGGGTCTTTACATCTACGTCGTTGCTGTCGTAGTTCCTGGAGCGCATCGCTTTTTCAAGGTTTGGCTGTCGCTTTGCACGATTCTTCCTGTGTGCAGGCTGTTGCTGCTGCCGTCAAAACGTGTTCGATGTCACGAAGCGTATTGCAAGCATATGTGGGGCCCGTTCACGGATCCCGAAAACTTGACATCAACACCGTTTGGGTCAGGTGCTGGAGCCCACCGTGTTTTCTGGCAGTTGCGGGCGAGGTGCTTCTGAGGCAGATCGGGGAAGCATACGCTGGCTCTCACAGCCCGGTGATCAGATCCAAGGTCGAGATCGTCTATTGGACGGCACGATGTGTATAACATGTTAGCGTCGAGTAGCACAAAATCGATTCGCCGCTTCAGCCCAAGACTGGAACGAAACGTCCATTGCACATCACGCGACTCGTTCACAGGATCGTCAACATTTCCAGCAACCAATTTGTGTTCAAACAAGAAGTTGCTGAGCAAGTCGCCCCTGTGTCCAATAAAAGCTTGCGTGTTGAAGTCTCCAGCCACGATCAATCTCCTATGGCACCGTCTCGCCTGGCGTGCTTCAGAAGCCATCTGAACGTAGCAATCCAAAAGTATATCTTGTGGATGTCCAGCGTGCGGCAGGTACACGCTCAGAACTGTCAGCTCCTGGGACCCGATGTTCATGCCAACGGCAAGCACCCTTCCCCCGAAGCTCCGGCAATCCACGACAGACTTAGCATGTCTACGATGAACAAGTAGGGCTACACCTGCGTACTTGTACTCAGCAAGGTGGGATATAAATCTGTGTCCCCCGACCAACTCTTGGTCGGCTGTCTGCGCTCTCGTTTCAGTCAGGCACACGACGTCCCACGATGTATTGTCCAATTCGTCTAACATCTCAGCTTGCCTGTCATGAGTATGTACACGAGCATTCTTACATAATAGCTCAAACATGCAATTGTTATCAATTCGTTATCATCACCCCTCGTGTCAATGAATTCTGTGCTGTCTCTACTTGCACTCGATCGGTGCTGTCCCTAGGCTGTCCCGGAGGATGCCTTGGACTTGCTCTTGCCTTTCTCCTGCCCCTTCCCCTTCCCCTTCCCCTTCCCCTTCAATTGGACCTTTTTTGTAAGCTTCTCCTGAGCCTTGGTAAAAGCGTCGTCCAACTCTGGGGCCTGCAAATACTCTTTCCACCCGTCCACGAAGTCGACCTCGAACTTGTCCCCGGAGACGCTCGACGACAACACCATGTCCGTGCCGAGGTAGAGGACGGCACTGTCGCGGTCCACATATAAAGCAGATCTCGACCACCCCCATTCTACGAGGACCTTCTTTACGGAGAACGCGAACGACTCTGGCAGACGCTCCTCAAAGGGACGGTCAATTTTAGCCCACATGCGAGTGCCGTTCCATTCGTGGCCGCTGTCCCGTATCTTCGGGATCGCCCTGTCCCTGTCTGCCTCCGTGGGGAACTGCGCAAACAGTATAACCACGAATTGGCCTTTTGCGTACACTGCACCCGGGAGAGGCCCCCCATCCGCGGAGAGCGTGTTGCACAGCCATTTGCATGCGTCAGCCTCGCTCCATTGACCACCGAGGCCACCGAAGATAGTTGTACATGAAGTGTGGTTCATTTCCCAAGCTGGGCTTCGAGCTTGGCAACCTTTGCGATGAGCTCAGCCTCGATGTCGTTGTAGCTGTCAGGCTTCACCGCTTCCGAAACCGAACTTGCACGCGAGGCGCCTCTCGATAGAGCGGCGTGCAACTCCTCCATTTGGATTTTCTGGGCCTGCATTTCCGACTCCACGGCACCGAAACGAGCATCTACCTCTGAATTGAGATTGTCGAAATTCGTCTCGATGCGAGCGACACCATCTTGCAAAGAACGAGCGTCAGAGATAAGAGCAATTGTGCAATCGACTTGTTTGGCACTCTCGCTGAAAAGCTCCCTGGCCGTCTCATCTATGTCTGATGCTGCCTCTGCGCCAGGCCCGGGCGCAGCCGATGCTCCAACGTCGTCACCGATGCCGTCCATCTCGTGCAGCGGGCTGGACAACCGAGCCTTCTTGTCCTGAGGGATCGGCGTGGTCGGCACAAGCGATGCAGATGCAGCTGCACCCGTTGGCGCCACCTGCAACACTCCACGCGCTGGGGTGCCTGGCTGTCGAGAGCTCGGCGGCATAATGGGGAAAGATGTAAAAGGTACGTGCGAAAAGATTGTAGGGTAAGGGGATGTATGCAGACAAAAAAAAGAGCACCACTGGAATTACCCAAATACAAAGAGCCCCACTTGAGCCACTCCCGGCGCTCGCACCCCGTTTTTTATCAGGGAAAGTCTCCCTCCTCAAATTGTGCCTCCGGCCCCCAGTTTAGGACAACCACGGCTCCCGCTTGATATTTCCTCGAAATTAATTCCGGCCCATCGCTCCCGCTTGAGACTTCCTCGCAATTAACTCCAGGATCGCGCTCCCGCCTGAGACTTCCTCGCAATTTACTCAGGCGCCGCGCTCTTGCCATTCGGGAATCGCGCGTTCGGCCAATCACGCAGAACGCGCGAATAAATATATACCCACCAAAGTGGTATGATCGAAGACGAAGAGGGCGGGTATCGAGGGTTCGGGGAATGCACGCTGAATGACACTCGAGCAGATAACCGCAAACAGTTTTAATATGGTTGTTGTTGTCGTCGTCGTCGTTGTCGTTGGTGTTGTGTTCTTCGAAGTTAGTCGGTCTCTGGTTCGTCTGTCTCTGGTCATTGCCCGAGTCGACTCGCTCTCCAGCTCCTTCGTCGACTTCTTTCATCCGCTCGACCTCTCGTTGGACAGCCCCCCTGGGGACCCCTGGTCCATCTCGCTCAGCTTCTGCCTCGCGCTTCCAGCGCCTCGCCCCTCGCCTTTGCCTCCGCCCACGGCGCCCTCCGCCCTCTCTGCCCGCAACGCTCTCCCACTCTCTGGCCTCTCGGCTCCTCATGTCGGCTCCGCGACCGTGCTCGCAACCCTCGTTGGGCATCTTTTTTTCATGGGTGACGCATCCGCGGCGCCCCCCCTCGCCTAGTGTCGCCCTGTGCGGCCTTCTCGTGAGGCCACCCTGGTGCACCTCTGCCCCGGCCTTCGCCAGGGGCCATGCTCGAACCCCGCCCCCCGTACTTCAGGCACGTCTTGGTGAACCATCCTGTCGTCCTGGATCACTTCTGCTGCTCGTCTACTCTCCCGGGTCCAAGGACTGCGCGGTGAATTTCCTGGAGCAGCGCCCAGCTGATGCCAGTTGCAAGTCGTTTCCTTCAATTTCGCCCGGTTATTTCGGGAA